TATCATAAACGTCTTGTGGATAACGACTGGCTATGAGGACCACATTCAAACCCGACCCCTACTCCAGGTTACAATTAATTTGTAAGGATATTTTCAAAGTTAATTTCTACAAGTTGAGATGTAATTTTAGAAAATTTTCAAAGAGGAACAGGACCATCCCTAGCTCGTCCTCTAAATTAATCTCTACCTACTCCCACAAAACTTAACGTCCAAGGTAGGGTAACAGGCACAACATATCAATTCAAAACCTATAATGAATAGACATTGTTACAGTTACAAAATTATAGCATTACAAGAACGTCGTCATAAATAACCAAATTTGAGGAATATTATACAAGGTAATACACTAGTGGATTCACCACTCAATGTTTTAAAGGAAATTTATTTAATTACTCCAATCAACATTAGTGTCAGCACACAACCTAATGGCACAAAAAATCTCTCACGCCATTATTTCTTCCTTCATCTTTAATTTGATCTCAAGGTAGCTGCTCTCAACGTACGTGGAATTTTACATGATGGAGTCCATAAAATATTGAAATATGAAAGGAAAAAAGAAAAGAAAAAAGAGGGTAAAATGGAATCCATATAACGGGTGAGGGATTTCGTGTTATGCATATCACATTCATTCATGTTAAACGAGTAGAAATCTTGGAGGGTTATCACAATTACAATTTGAAAGCAAGAAAAAAAGGGTAATGCTAAGGGCAATGTGTGTAGGGTAGATTGATAGCAAAACTTAACTGATGAAAAGCGTAAGGATTTCTGTATATGACCCCTTTGGGAATGTAAGTTCCTTCCTTGTATGATGTGTAGTTTCTCATCCGTGCCGCGTCGAGAATAGCTGCTCTTGCTCTAGCCAAGCCATCTTCAATCTTCTCTCTGCCTCTCTTTATCTGCCCACAAAATATTGAGAACTTGTTTATCAATAACCAAAAACATAAATCAATGAACAGCACTACATATATATATATAATCTCAAAATATTCGTTAATCAGTTCATGACTTGTAGTGGTGCTAAAACAAATCATGAAAAAAATAAGAAAAAACAAAGTATATTGGATAATAAAAATCGCCAAAGAGACTAACCTGCGTTGGCAACTGGTGTGGCTGTGAAGGAGAGGGTTGAGAGCTTTCAAAAACAAGCTCGCTAGCTTTAGTATAGACAGTATTTGATGTAGAAAACGAAGAAAAATATCCCACAGTATTGGTACTATTCTGGTTCAAGGGAGAACTAAAGTAGACAATAAGCAAAGCGAGAACAACAACCGGCAGTAGCATAAAACCAATGTTAGAGCCATTACATATAGTTTCCATGGCGGTTTAAATTTTTTTCTTCTCTTCTAACATAAACACACAGGGAGAGGGAGGAGAATCGTGGTGTCTACAGAAGTATTCCCAACGAAGAGTTAATAAGAATATATACGCACAGAAGTAAATTACCGAGAAGAAAGCAAAGCTAGAGTGACGGTTTGTGACAATCAATCATTACAGCCCCATAGAATCGGCGGCAAGCTGGTGCTAGAAAGGTTTTTTTTTCTTTTTTTTTCTTTCCTATCTGGGAGTCGGTTAATTGTATCTTTAGACACAAGATTGAACGTGGTGATAGTGTTGAAAAGTGGAAAGTTGGACTTCCATATTTGACTTGGGAGTAAATCATGCAAGAAATTGATGGAGGAAATTTCGAATTCGAAATTTAACACCTTAAAAATTTGTTCGATACAACTACGAAAAGAAGAAAAGGCATGCCAAGCATTCAGCTCCTTTTATTTTGAAAATGAATTATATATAAATCTTCCTTTGATTGTGAGTAATCCATGATCTAGCTTCTTTAGGCCAGTGCACGTCTCTACATTGACAAGGGACGTATACTCTCTGAGAAATTTAATAACTTGCAGTGGTTAAAGAATTTAAACTTAAAAACTTAAGGAATTGAGCATCTTGGTTTATAAATGCTAACATAGAAGCTGTCAATAAAAGAAAATCAGACCTTTTCTTTCCTTACTGACTTGTTCAGGGCCTTTCATTTTGATTTGTGAGAATATTGTCCAGTACGATGAAATTTTTTACGCGCAACAATTATATCAGGATTTTATTGATCAAACTGATAAATAAAAGCGTGCTAAGAAGTTGTTCAAATGGGTACAATCTGACTTAAAATAGGAATAACAGAAAATCTAACTGTTGAATAGCTTCAAATTTTTCAAAGAGATTTCAGGACGGTTTAATTTCATGAACACGGGAACAAAAAAAACCTGTTATGTCTCGTTAATTTCATGTAATTAATCTTGATACTTTGGTTGGTATTCATGAACGTGGATCTCATTATCCTTTTCCTTCCACTGTTTAAGCAAGATTTTGCTTATGTCTCCGTGCGCCCCACCTGCAAAAAAGACCAAGATCTTGCGTTCATCACGGGATAAGCCATGGCAGATTGGACTGAGTTTTAATGGGGGGCAGATTTTTGTGTAGCTTAGGATCATCTCTTGAGATTTGTGGTTCCTGAAATTAAATTAAAAATGCATAAATATTCCAAATGTACAATCACCACTAATTTAATAATTGTTTATATTAAAATGCATTTTGTTCGGGATCTTAAGTTACATGTAGTTGATTTTCAAGGACAGAAGATTCTTACCAGTCTTTCACGGCGCTAGGTGGTGATCGGCAAGTAGATGGACTCAACAATGGAAGCCACACTAAGTGGTAAAAAAAATGCATGGGCCTCATCAGAATTACGGGCCAAATGGGCGCTTCCCATTATCCATTTCATAGATAAACTGGCCCACTATGGAATAGATGTGTTTCATAGGCCCACTGTGGACCATGGGCTTCCTACCCATATCTTGAATCTTTTTACCGTCTCTAATGCAAACAAAAACCTTGTTGATCCTATGTGTGAATCAGAAATTGCGGGTCTTAATTACCTTGGTGAAATACTTTCAGGGACTGAAATGATTGTGCATTTATCTAGCATTTAATATGAATTGGACTAGGGAAATTGGCGTCTCACCATGTTGGGTTAACCTAGATACTTTTGGAAAAAAAATATAATGGTGAATATATATATAAACAGATTGTCCACACATTGTATTTTCCAAATTCTTTATGATATGATATAAAGTAATTTCCAGAAAAAGATAATACTACATGAGAGGAAAACTAAAAAAAAAAAACAATACAACCAGTCATCATAATACATGAAATGGCTAAAAAAATAAAGAAAAAGGAATTGCTTTGAAAACTCTTTGACACGACTAAAAGGTTGATGTCTTCTCCCAAGTGTAGGAGTGTCGAAGTAATAAATAACCCGGCAAGACCGGGGTCGAACCACAGGGAGGTTAATTGTACAAATTATAGACAACAATTATAAGCAACAATAATAGCAATAATAACAAAAACAATAACAACAACAATAACAACTATAATAATAATAATAGTAGTAGTAGTAGTAGTAGTAGTAGTAGTAGTAATAATAATAATAATAATAATAATAATAATAATAATAATAATAAAGAAAGAGAAATTAATTTTTTATAAACATATATGAAAACTAATGATTTAATTAGTTTAATATAACGACTTTCCTTCATCCATCATATTTCAGCATCACTGAATGTTGTTTCTTTGACATCAAATAGACCTATTAAAATGTTGATAGAGAGGCCTTGTCATGTGCCAGGAGTGATACTTGTGATCTCAGGCAATGTTTTTATTTCCAATCTGACCGAGGAGAGAAATTTTGTTTTCCAACAAACGAAGCAACTTTAACATAAAGTGCTTAATATGTGAGTATATCATGTAAGCTTAATTACTGAAATTCTTTTAGGACAACTTTGCCTTTAGATCAATTGCAACTTCAAAAATATTGGGTACCTCAAAAAAAAAAAAACCAAGACAATCCATATTCCTTGATGAATTCAGTATAAGAAGATAATGTAAATTTTTGTTTTTAACAATAATATTTGTATTGTAGATTTGAATTGATCATACATAAAAATCCAATAATAATATCATATATAAGGTATGAAAATGATGAAAATTATTTTGAGGGCTAAATAAAATGCCACCAAATCTAACTGAAAATACTTGCTTGGATTAACCAATGAAGAAATTTAAGTATTATGTCATACAGAAGCTAAAAAGAAAAACAAAACAAAATGAAAATTAATACAACACCACTTAAGCAAGCCTTTAAACTTGGTTAAATCTTAAAACTAGAATACACAACAATGCACCAAGTCTTAGTACCATCAAGGCTATGAAAATCCAAACTTGGATAAAATGGAAAGATTTTTCACTAGAAAATAATAAGCAATAATTGATGCTCACCTCAATAAAGTGAAACCAAGTTTGTCACCAATATGGATTTATATACAAAACTGCACATATCATTAATAGCACCATTATGTATGCAACCCCAAAACTTACATATAAAACCTTCATATCCATGAAGCCACCATTATCTTTCATTGTTCGTTGAAGTTGGTGTTAGTAATGGTGGCATAGCTGCACCACATATTTTGGGTAGCGATTTTCCACAAAAAAAAAGGTTGTCTTTATAGTAGCCCTTCTTAAAACTAGCAAATTCTGCAACTCTTGTAGGGGTTTTGTCAGACAGATTATTATACACCACACTGAAGAATTTTAGAGAAAATAGCTCAGTAAGTCGATGTGGGATTTCTTCATGTAGTTTGTTGTAGGAAAGATTCAAGCTCTCTATTTCCGTTAAATTTGAAAATGTTGAGGGAATTATTCTATTCAACCTATTGTGTGAAAGGTTTAATAGTTTGATCTTGCCAAGATTTTCAATTTCATGAGGAATCTCTCCTGTGAAATTGTTGCATGACAAATGAATTCTTGTGAAGCAATGCAGAATGCTACCTTTATAAGGAAGGAGATACATTATTTGCTATAAACTCAAAAGTTTGTTGTGATAAGGACAAAGAATCTTTGTAATTCTTTTATGTTGGAAAAAGGATGAGTAGATATCATCCAATTAAGGATGTTACCAATAATATAATTGTGAGATAGATCAATCAAGGTTAACTAGTCCAACTTGCATAATTAAATTAGAATCTCACCTTTAAGATTGTTATAACTCAAGAGTAGAAATCTCAAGTTAGATAGTCTGTCAATCCATTTTGGAATTCTACCAGTTAAATCATTATGGGAAAGATCTAATGTCATTATCTCAAAAGCGTCGTAAAATACCATTGAAATTGGTCCTTACAACTTATTTCTAGATAACTAAACATACCTCAATTTTGAAGAAGTGCTGAATCTAGGTAGTAAAGGACTAGAGAAATTATTCTCTGATAGGTCTAAAAATTCAAGAGATGATATATTCCCTAACCATCTAAGGAATTGCGCTTGCAAATCATTGTTCAAAAGTGTTCTTCCATTCCAAACATTGTTGGACAAGTCTAACATATGCAGTGAGCTCATGTTACCCAACGAGAAAGGAATGTTTCCATTAAAATCAATATCAAACATCCATAAAACTTTTAACCTTGGAAAATAAGCTCCTATTTTTTATGTGACTTGGCCTTGGAGGTAATTCATGGATATTATTAGGAATAATAAAATCACATGAGAATTCTTTGGCAATAAAAATAAAACTGAAAAAAAAATATTTTTTATAAAAAGATATTGTAAGTATGTGTTGTTCTCAATCAACTAATTTGAAAACTCTCTCTTTAATCCAAGTATTGTAAGACCTAAAGATTTTAGGTTCATCTGATGGTAAAGAAATATGAAAAATGCTCCAGCACTTTGTCCACGACTACTTAAAGAGAAGGACTTTAATTGGAACTTTGGGCTCAAATTATGATCATCTTCTTTTGCGTGTATTTCATTACTTGAACCATCAAAATACTTGAGTTTTGAACGGTTGTATAATGGGTTCAATGACATAGGGATCTTCATGTGATTGTATAAGAGATGTAGTAGGTGCAAAGAAGTCAAATTTGCTAGACACGGAAGTAAGACACCACTAAGATCATTATAACTCATTAATAGCCTTTAAAGATGATTTAAGTCAAATAGGCCTGATCACATTATAATTTAGAAAAAATTAAAACTCTGATTATCTAATGGAAAATATATAACTTAGAAACAAAAAAAGTAATCAACCTTACCGATGGTTTGAAAGATGTTATTGTCTAAAGTATTGTAACTCAAATCCAAATATTCCAAGTTCTTAAGATCAAGGAAGCCTACTATAATTAATTAAATAAGAGATTATATTAGCATAGAAGCAATTAAAATTATAAAGAAAATGAAAGAGTTAGAAAGAAGCAACCTATTGAATGAATAAAAAAGAATTTAATTGAGTTGATTTTTAAATTTAAAATTTAATTCTCTTTTATTGGTCAATTTGCTATAGTAAGCAAATTGCTAATAAGTTGCTAGTTTTGGTGGTGGGCAGTTGGACAACATGTTGTTCTGGTTGATTATTTGTTGGATAATGTATGTTTTTTATGTATTTTTTATTTTTTATTTTTTAATTTAATTAACTCATAATAAGTTTCTAATTTTTTAAAAAAAATTAGATTAATATTAAACAAAGTCTCCCATGATTTCTTTGTTTAACTCTCATAAGAGGCTATTAAATACAATAATTCGCTACTTATTAATTATGGCTAAAGAAAAACAAAAAAATGGAAAGGGATGTGTAGAAATTGTAGAGTCTAATTAAAAGAAGGAATTTTGATATGTCAGACAACAAAGCAAAATGCTATTGTTAATTTATTCTCCTCTCAAAAATAGCACTTTCTATATACAAAGTTATCTTTTCATTAAAGAATTATTGTTTTTTAACTTATATTTCTATTTATATTACATTGAAATAGTGTTGAGAGAGGGCCAAAATTGAATTGAAACATTATTTATATTAAATGAATGGTATACTTTTAGAATAATAAATATTTTAGTTGAGTTAATTTGTAAATTTAATATTTAATTGATGTTATGAATTTAAATTTTAATCTATTTGAGAATTCTCCCAGATATGTTTAATAATTTGCAAAAATATAAAAGAGAAATTCTATTTAGATAACGATCCGGATACAACTCTTTGGACTCAAATTTTGCAAAATTAGCAAATTAAATTTTTTAATTAAACTCAAACATATAAACATCACTATATGTAATATATAACTTACTTGATATTTTTCCTCTAAAATCTTTGGAGCTCAGATCAAGTGTCGTGATCTTGAAAATGCTCTTAATGATTGCAGTAATTGGAAGCTACTTTCATAGGTTGTGATATTATAAATTACCTCTTAAGGCTACTAATTTGTTAATATTGTTAATATTGTTGCTGCTCAACTCCAAGCTGCCCTAACATTCTTGATATTTATAAAAATAATAGTTAATTAATTCATTATAAAACATAAATTGTGTTTTTTTTTAAACTGAATTTAATAGAGAAAAAATAAGTATATAAAAAAACTAACCTTTCAAATCTATTAACCCCTTAAGTCTATTATACCTAAGTATAATGATTTAAGAGATGAAAATCCCTTCACATGTGATAAAATACTGTTATCAAAGTGATTCCATGTCAATTTAAGGTGCTCCAAATTGCTCAATCTATGCTATTCATAACCACCTATATAAAAAATAAAAAACTAAGATTTCATGTAAAGAATAAAAAATGATATTATTAGAGTAATTTAATTATGATTGATGATGAAGAGACATGTCATTGTTAGAGTGACTTTATATAAAGAGATTGAGGTGGTGAAAGAGTGAAAATAAAAGGAGTAATTGTTACAGTGACGGTCTGGTATCATGATTATAATAATAAAGGTGATATTTGTAATGTAATAATAAGCATGATGGTGGTGGTGGTATGATTATATTAATAATGTAAGGAATTAAGAATCTGTTTTGTTTGTTAAGATTATTCACTAAACACAATAATTCATTCAAATATGATTTCTATTTTCTTCGATGAATTAATGTAGAGAAGCACACAATGATACTAATTAAACAACACCTTATTTGATTAATTTAAAAAGACTAATCTAAATATTTTGTGATACGAGCAAATCTTTGTTCTTAACCCAACCAGCTATGCGATTAGCTGGCAAAGAGAGAGCGTTGAGTTCTTGAAAAGGAAGAAACAAGGAGTCATTTAAGTACCAATCTCCCAGTTCCCAGTTTCTTATGCTGTCAAGAGCGAGTACGGTGACTCGACCTATACTGTTGCTGCACGCAATACTTAATTTCCCAAGAGCAACAGTGGGCGTCGCCTTTTATCCAAGAGGGTAGGGATGTGCCATTGGGATGGTTAAGAGCATTTTTGAGGTGCAACGGAGCGATTCTCTCTTCCTCCAAGCAATCAAGAGGCAGCCATCCTTGCAGGGAAACCACCGTCACTAAAACCATCAACATCTGAAGGACAACCCCAACTTAATATCAAAATATAAATGCCGATCAATTGTTGTAGAGGATAGGGAGGAGGCTCAAGCTTTTATAGAGGACTCTACGGACCCATGCAGTGGTAAAAACTGCATCATGGCAAACGGTCTCCCATAATCCTCGTGGAGATTATAATGTTGATGATTCAATGTTTTGATTGATCTCCATCTTTTGGCTTTATACCTTATGGCCGCAAATTATTGCTTCTTTTCTGGCATTGATTCCCCAACCCTTTACGTAAAATCCACATTGAAGGCTTCCACCGTTCATTTATTTAATTATCTGAACTCATATATATATAATGATTTGACGGTGCTTGTAGTGGGTGTATGCCTACATTCTTAGTTTTCTAAACAGGCCTTTAGCTTTATTGCCTAGCATTAACCTTTCATTCATTCTTTTTTTTCCCAAAAGGCCTACCTTCCAAGAAGGAATACAAGTTTTCTGTTATTTACTTTTAAGCTTTTTTTTTAGATTAACATGAGTGTTCGGGCTAGTTTGCATGTATTGTGACTAATCTCACAGATCCTGAAGTTAATGACTATATAAGTACTTTTAAGCTTTCTTTTTTCTATGTAATATTAGTTTTTAAAAGAATTAGGTAGAAATTAACACGGTAAAATCTTTGTATATTATACAATTGGATTTATTTTGATGTTTCTCACACGAGTATTATATATTCAATTCTTTAATAGTTAGAAAATACAAAGAGTTAGTGACACTTACATGGTATTTGTATCTTATTTTTTCTAATTAAAAACATGTATTGAATTAAATTTTTTAACTTGAATACTTGTTTTTATGAATTTTTATCGATCAATATATATATATATAAAGGATTATTTTAGTATTACAATCTCTATGTTAATTATTGTATATTATTCAACATGTATAAATAAAAAATATTGTTTAACTAATAAGTTAAACCTTCTATTTCTTTTTAACTTGGAGTTAGAATCTTAACACATTAAAACTCCTTTCTCTAATAGACTCTGTTTTCACTTACTTCTCCCCCCACCAAACTAGTGTTACATCATCTTCGACCGGCCATACACAGGTTGCTGTCAATGGCTCCTTTCCACATCAACAAACCATCTCTCTTGCAAAGCAAAACAATGATTCCTCTTCTCATGTTTTTGTCATTTCTCTACATATTATAGGGACCTCAACTCCAGTCATAGTTGCTCTGTCTAATATTTAGTAAGTTATTTTGTTGAAATTTACAAACAACAATTATCTATATTGATGAATGTAAATAAAACTATATCTTTTTTATTATTTTTTATAATTATTTTTTTAAATCACTACCATAAAAATTATCATAATATTAAACACACTTTTTATTAGCATTTCATGTAAAATTAATTGTGAGGCGTGCATTAGGTACTGGGATTCACTAAGGTGAAAAATAGACTATTTTTTTTTTAAAAGCAGTGCAACCTTATTTTTGTAAATGCAAATGAATGTTTCAACTAATTTATCTGATGAAGTTATGAGTTCGAATTCCCAAGAATGTGTGCTCAAATTCATATTTAGGAATTATATTCATATAAAAATCCGACTTCAAAAGATTATGACACTATATTTCTTTTTATGTGATGATATTTTGTTCTCTTTAACAAGTCGTTCGGTGTGGTGATCTATTTTCTGGCATATCAACATATTGTAAGACACTCAATTTGTTTATATTGTAAAATCCATCATGAGATTATGGCAATATTTTCTGTCTGTTTTTTTTTTTAATTATTAAAAGGTTTGTTAAGTTTTAAGCT